ATAACTGACGTAATGTAAAGCGTTATGCAATATGGCACCCTTTCACACCTGAATCCGATTCCAATCGTAAAGTATGACTTTCAAAGTATTTTTGTTCATTTAATAAATAATTAAGTGTTATAAATTGGAACAAAAGAAGGTAAGGAATAAAATTAATAATGTTTATTATATCACTTAAATTCTAGCTGATCATAATTGAGAATGGCATCATCATCACACATCAACAGCCTTTAACAGTCTACTGCTGGACATACACCTTTCCTTAGAAAGGAGGTTTTGACCTACTCCATACATATAGTTATCGACACGAATCTTAAGCGCAGAGTGCGGATTGCTTTGTGCATCGTGCATTTATGGCAAAATAAAATGCACACCCATTTATTATTATTTATTTTTTCTTAGTTAGAATAGAATAAAAATAGATCAAAACCATAAGACGTAACGTAGTAAAGTTACTACGTAACTTCTTATTGATTCTATGGTAAGAGAAAATGGTTTAGTAAAAAATAAAATAAAATAACGTAGAAGTACTTACATGTTTTTGTTTTACAAATATTTTCCTTATAAAATTATTAAGGTGTTATATATTGCGCAGATATATTGGCAAAAATATTATGTCCTAACTTGACTATTTAAACATAATAGCGTACGCAAGAGTTTAGATTTATCTTGGTCCACTTAGAAATTTATATGCCATACGCTACATAATTCTACTAAACGTTTAAAATTAAAAAGAATATTAATAATTAATTCAAACGCCAATAACATTTTTTGACTTCCAATTTCAATATAACATAGCCTATATTTTGCTTCTAATTTTATATTGCATGATGATTTAATGATAATTATTTCTGTAAGTAAATGTTTTCAGATATTTTTACAAGTCGGACTTTACAGCTAGCTAGTCTAGCTAGCTTTCCTCAAGACTCATTCTGGGAAGAAACGCCGAAACAAACCACACAGGTATCTTTTATTTTAGTCCGTAAACAAATTTAAAGAAAACTGGATGAGTACAGTGTACATGGATGAAATTGCATTAAAATATTGTCAAAGATTGTTTTTTGCTTTGCGACAATCTCATCGACATAGACATCAAAAATGAGTTTGGAATCATGGTTGACGCCTAAATCACAAACGACATCACGTTTATTCAGTACTTGGCCATTTAGTTTGTACGTCGATGGGACAATATCACGATTTCAGCTGTAAGAAACTACATTACATTGGAGTGGGTTTAGGTCTAGTTTGTTACGTTGCGTTGGCAATACTCATCCAAGCGCTTCTCAAGTCTCGCTACAGATCCTTCAAAATATAGTTGTGTACTGTATCCCAGTAGGGTTCAGAATCTAAATTAAGTAGTTATATTACATTACGATAATCATATTCAAGACAATGGCATAAATAAACAAAGAAAGTTAGCGATACAGTGAAGATTCGCCGGATTTTCCTCGTATGTGTCCGTGACCAAGCCTTTCTCTGACAAAATACTGCTTTATTATATATTTTACCAACAGTATTATATTGATTTCAAAAAAAATGTACCAAAATATGCTTAGTATAGTAAGAGTAAAGAGTAAAAAAGCTTTCGTTTGAAGTCTCCATCCATTTGCTGACATAATTCTGGGCAAAAGGAACAACACAATAATGTTAAGTAAAAATCCACTCATCGTAAACTTTAAACAGTAATATAGAAGTTTTATTTTAAATTCTCATGTTAAAGAAATATTAAAACATACACAAATAGGGAAAAAAGAAGTTGTTGTCCTGTGGCCGTCAATCTTTCTTTTTTTCTGCGCTAAAGTGTTTGGTTTAATTTTATTAATCAAAACTTTAACTGTTATGATTAATTTTTAAACTCTTTCCGAAAATTAGTTTTATTAACTACTCTGTGGTCTTAAGCTCAAAATTAAAAAAAAGTGTAAACTTGGAAGGATGTGGATATTACATTAATTTACTTTAAACTAAATTTAAAAAAATACTTCGATAATTAAACTGCTTATAATGGAACTCAACTTAGAATACAACACACTCGAAATTAGATTATTAATCCTTTTTTTGTTATTATTATGTCACATTAATAAACATGTTAATTTTCGGCAATTCTGACTAGACAGAAGTCAGACCTACATAATCAAAGTTAATGAGCGTCGTTAACCATTAGATATCATGAGAGGAGCTAATTTTATTGCAACATGATTAACTGTTTGATACTATTTTATTTACATCTTAGTTTACAAAAGGGTATGGTGCAAACGATTACTGCACAAGTTTGAACCGCCCAACTTTGAAAGCGCTTCGAACCTACGAATGTTGTGACTATTGTTACAGAAGGGGACACTAGAAGGGGACAGCTGGGCCTCGTACTGTGTGGCACATACGTTTCTTTTTTTAAAAGAACAATAGCAGCAAAAAGCTAAAAGTTTTTTTTTACTTTGAGTTGTCGGAGTTAGTTGGAGCTATTTTAGCTAGCCTTAAATACTTCCACATTTTAACGCACACGTGCGGAGTATTTACAGACCGTAAACGAGGCCAAAACGTTAAAGTTATGATCAGAATTACCATAATGATAATCTATATCTACAAGGATGAAAAGAAAAATATTCAAATATATATCAATATATCAACTAAAGATTTTACTTTAGATTACTTACTCATTTAGGCCAGTAATTGCGATCAAGCAAAAGATTTTTTATTAGATAACAAAATGTTGTATAATTTAAAGATCATTTCGTTACAAGCTAGTCGTATGCAACATGATCTCCATAAACCCCTTCACTGCATGTTGCAATCAAATGTCTGTGACCATTCATGTCATAATTAGCACCACAAGAACATAAATATTATAAAATTAGAGTGCATTAATCATATTACCTTCTGATGTCGCAAGGGGTAAAAAAAACTGGTTGAAAACACACGCTTAACACTAAGTTCTATATTAGTATCAAGAACTTAAGATTGTAAGTACATTTCGTTGGTTCCGTAGCATTAGTACAAAAGTATTTTATTTTCGTCTGCTTCTCTAAAGGAATAACTTTGCCCTATTTTCGCAACATTTTTCATTGATACTCGGCTTCCATTGGTCGTAACATGATGTTATATACCCGTAAATAAAGGGTTATCCAACATTACAATATATTTTTTTCTTTTATACAACCCTTTTTTTACGTGTGGAAACCTCTTCGGCCCGTTACGTGGGGTACGGCGGAGTGGTGTGTCGGAATCGGACCGACTTTCCACACGGTGGGCCATTCTGCGCCTGTAATAGGAGGGATCCGGGAACAGATATTATTAAGACATCCGGATCCCTTCTAGCGCCTGCCCGCAATGGCGCAGGCTCTATACCCGGGCACATTCTCCATATAGGTGACGTCCGGCATACGCGGACGTCGCCTCCTTGCGGCTGGCCGTTATGGCGGGTGGAGGGGAAAACCCGTCCGAAATGAGGTGGGCGCTTATACCTATACAACCTGACAATAACGAACACAAAAAAGAAGAATTATCAAATTTAGTGCAGTCGTTCGGAAGTTATGCGTTTACACATAACTTACTTTTCGTTATTCATTTTTATTTATACATATATACTCGTACATAGAGATTACGGTTTTATCGTGCAGTCTTTCATGAACCAAAAATTTCCTACTTTAACCTCGTAATTAGGTCATCTTTGGTCAATGAAATAATGTGATGTTTATGATGCCTAGAAACATGTTAACCTTGATTCTACAATATTATGGCAAATAAACAATTATTATTATTATTATCTTTACACACACAAAACTGCATTCTTTCTAAATTAATGTTAGCTCAAATTCAACAACCTTGCGTTGCCCAAACCGAATCGATTGTCAACTAATTTGTAGGTTTGGAATGTTAAATACTTCTAAAACAGATAAAAAAGGTCTCAATTTTTTTTCTAAAACGCTAAAAGAATTTGAAAGTAATTTAATTAAACCACTAAAATACTTAAAGTAATTTATTTTTTAAGTCATTGCACAGATTGACCTCTTATTTATATAGGTGTCAGAAATGGATTGGCTTTAAGGAACTCGGTAAGTCTCACTGTACTAAAGTCTAGTCTAAAGTCCTGGATTACTGAACATGTCTAAATAATCTTTTTACTTCATACAAATACTTTTTCCCGTAATCAAGATTGACCTACTGAAAAAAAGTTAAATTTCGTCATTTTGTGACCTTGTTAGTTACTTGTTAGTTAGATTTGTATATCTCTTCCACCCACTATTTACTTTTTTCCATTTATATCAGTAATTTCAGTAAATTAAGCTCTTTTTTCTACAGATTGAAAGTAACTTCTGACAAAGTTTACAAATTTCATAATTCAAAGCAGTTAACAAAAAGTGTAGCCTGTTGGAATTGAAACTTTTCTGCGTTGTCTAGGTAGGGTGGTGAACAGTTTAAATAATGGAAATAGGAGCTTATGGTAACATGAGCTCTGGATCCAAAGTTTTAACACTAATATTTATAAGATATTTCGTTTCATAATCATGTTTCGTAATCAATTAAAAAAATGCCTTAGCTGTGTTTTTTAACCTAAAGTTTTGTTATGCACCATAAGTACCAATAATATTTTTCATAATATTAGTCTTAATTAGGAAGGACTGAAAGAATAAACAGGTTTCCTAAGCTAATCTACTTATCAAAAAACATCCTGTCCGAATACTGAATTGATAATGCAAGATGTTATGCGATAAATCACAATCTAATAGAGGGGATTGCAAGTTTAAATAAAAAGAAAACACGTTGCCGTGGCCAGTGAGAGTGAGCAGTCTCAGCGTACGCGCGCGAAAGTGACATTCGAATTTTAAATTTAGCGCCAATACAAACGTCATTTCATCCCGAGCCCTATTACATTTTTCCTTGAAGTGGGATAATTCAATGTAATTTTATATTCTGCGTGATTTCTAACTTTAGAAAAAAGTGTTTGGTGCCTGTAAGGGTGACAGTGCAAGTGCTAAGTGACTTTCGCCGTCTATTTTTGTAGGATGATGAACATGCGGAATATTAAGGTGAGCTAAAATATACTTGGCGATAGATAAATACCTATTTAATACATATCTTGTTCTCTTTTAAAAGAAGTTTTAAAAGAAAAGGTGCTAATATAATACCAGATTTAAAAAAAAGCTTGATTACGTAATTAATCCATGTCAATGTTAAATGATAAAATTTTCGTTATATTTTCTGAAATATAACGCATCTATCTATACTAATTTACTTTAAAACAACTATTTAGTCACTTGTTATGATAATGAAACTAGCGAACAAAACACATTAGTATCATCAGAAAGTTTCACCTAGGGTACAATAGCGTTCACTAAAAAGGTGAGAATTACTTAGGTAATATAGCGCTTTCGAGAAAAATTAATGCTGGTTGGCTGGTTTTGATGTAGATAAGTAAAATGAAATAAAATAAGTATTTTATATTATGCTGTGTTCTATTCTTCGTTAATACACACATAAATAATATCGAAGTGTATACCTACGCACCTGAATATTTACGCCGTCTTTAAACTAAGAGTAATGTAATTTTAATATTTTTGTTTTTACGTATGTTTGTTTGTCCTAGGTAATGTCTGTTGTGACAAATAGCTAATATTATATAAATAACAAACAAAAAATAATAACTAAGGCTAGGCGCAGAGTAATATAATAGGTATAAATATTACGTAATATAATAGGTACGAATATGCTTGATGAGCACTCCAATTCTTAGCTTATGTTCTCTTATGAAGAAGCTAGCATTCTTTAAATAATTTTTCACTTCTATGGAGAAAAGGTTTCGCCTATACCTATACATTATTCCTAGGCAACATAGATCGTCAATTATATTAAATTATCAAATTAATTTTCATATCTTGATATTAATACGTGTTATGAGTAGAAGTAAGCTGATAAAATTGATATTGACAAGTACCTATTGAATTTTTGTACATTTGATCTAACATCGAATTTTGAAAGAATTATCGAAAGATGTAAAGAATATGCATTGATTTTTTAAAGTATACAATTCGCTACTGGCACAGATTATATCTATGGCTACTGGTCATCATCTCACTAGTGCGCGGTGACGGTGATGATACTATATCGCCAATGAACCAAGTAAAATCACACGATGGTCCGTCACAAGAGGGTCTCACGCTAAGTATTCTCTATATAGGTTTTGTCTTGTTTTGCGAGAATTCCTGCAGACAACTTCTAAATGCCTCAACTTTTGGTGTATGGGATATCGTTAAAATCCTATACTCATCCCGAGTGACACTGTCTATATATTGGAAATATAAATAATGTGACTGCTTTACGTAATTCATGTAATTATTGAGCCAACTGCGTTGGTACTTCTAATTTTATAATTAGTAAAAAATAAGTTTTAAACTATCGCCTTTCATAATATATAAATTATATTTACGGAAAATAGCGCGCTCATGATAATACATACCTTTAGGCGAGGAGCCACCAATCCTGAAAGCTCCGTGATCACGGATTCTAATATTTTTAATAAAAAATAAAAGTTAACGTTTAGACGAACAAGATTTGCTTGGTCGGCGTGGATTTGATTGGCCTGAAATATTTTAATTAAATTATTTATTATTAAATTTCCATTTTTTTTTTCCGTCATCACGGATTTTGATCAATCTTATATAGAATTTTGTGTGAAATATTATGTTCAACAAGAAAAAATCCGGCCGACCAATGATTTTTAGCCGGAAAAGTCACGCATACCTATTTGAATGGTGTGATAAGGGGTAAAATTTATCCATTACCAAGGAAACCTTTTTTTTTTTAATTCACGCGTTTTAATGTCACATTTATAATTATCTTGGTATGCGTGCTTACAAACTGCCGAAAGTATCGCGCATACCAAATTTTATTGTGTGAGTGAGGATTATACTGTTATAGATTTCACTTACTTGATGACATTTCTTTTGGAGTCTTTCTTCTACCTCTGGTCTCTTCTTTAAGTTTTAAACTATTTATTATACTAATTAATATGGAAAAGAGGAAATACAGGAAAATAATTTTTGGGTTGATTATATATAATAAATGAAGGTTGATACAAAAAATATGTTCAATTCAAGTTTATTAATCAATAATCATCTATATCATTATCATCAAAATTATCATTTCTCTCTTCTTCTAATTCTACGCTTTCTTCCTCATTCTGTTGGCAACTTAATATTTCCTCAACCTTTAACGGTGCCGATGGGCCAATATACCACAATGGTTCAAGTTTACTGGATTCATTTACTTGCCATCCACATTCTGTTGGATCATATAATGTACAAATAGGTTCAGTAGCATTTTGGCACATTGCGTTTACAAAAATGGTGCGTAATATTTTTTGCGTTAAAGTTTTCCAGCATGGTGGAATATTATTTGAATTGAAATTTATCATACCTGTGTAAAAATTTTCTTTGTCGGTTGTACTTACAAAAAAAATTTAAGAATAATTCAAATCTTGCAACATTAACATCATTATTTTTTACGTTTTACATTTCATTTGTAAATCTTTGGACTAAATCTGTCTTTACTCACTCTTTACAGAAATATAGAAACCGTTAAAAAGCGAAGAGTTAAAATTTGGAATGTGCGATACTTTCGGCAGTTTGTAAGCACGCATACCAAGATAATTATAAATGTGACATTAAAACGCGTGAATTAAAAAAAAAAGGTTTCCGTGATAATGGATTAATTTTACCCCTTATCACATCATTCAAATGGGTATGCGTGACCTTTCCGGCTAAAAGTCATTGGTCAGCCGGATTTTTTCTTGTTGAATATAATATTTCACACAAAATTCTATATAAGATTGATCAAAATCCGTGATGACGGAAAAAAAATGGAAATTTAATAATAAATAATTTAATTAAAATATTTCCGACCAAGCAAATCTTGTTCGTCTAAACGTCAACTTTTATTTTTTATTAAAAATATTAGAATCCGTGATCACGGAGCTTTCAGGATTGGTGGCTCCTGGACTACTTTGAATTATCCAATGTTTTGACTAGCTGGCACTTAAAATTAGTAACTTGTTTTGCTTCATCTATTCAATAGGTACGTTTATATATTTTCTATACAAGAACTTACAGCATCAATTATTAGCAAATCTAAGGAAACCGTAAGAGAAATGACCAAAAGCAGATACAACATCAAAATAATAAAACATAACTGATATTATAAAAACAAGACTACGATTGCGGTATAAGATCTTTGGTTGAATGATTTCTAATATGTTTTTTTTAATCTATCTTTGTTTAGCAACCGATTCAAAATTATATGGCTAACCCAAAGCAACCACAAAGCAACAAACCGAAAGCAGTTCATTGTGCAGTCTATGTTCTCTCTTTTATCAAGTAATAGTTAGATGTATTATTAAGAGTATTAACAAGAGTATTATTAAGAGTATTAACAACAATTATTAAGAGTATTATCAATAGTTTTAACAGTCAATTACCTGATTCATGATAATTTTTGTGAAGGAATAAGGATAATTTGCAGTCGAAAAAATAATCATCGCTATATTTTACTTATAGTTGAATGATTTTTATGTTATGTATATCGTAAGGATGAAAATTGTTTAGAATTATAATTAAAATGAATTTGATTATTACTTTTTATAGTATGACGACACAGGGGATTCTTGTAGTATTATATGTGTATAGAAAAGGCTAGAATATGGCTAGAAAAGGATCTTCACGTTGTAGAAATTATCCAAAGTTACTAGTATAGTAGGTATGAAGAAGAAGATCTGCCAAAAATATCACCAGATCAGTTTAGCTTATGACTGAAAGCTTATGAACTGACTTAGCATGAAACTTTGACGCTCTGTATTTCATGTTAAAATGTAATCTTTTTCAAAATTTGAAGAGCAAAAGAGTCAGTAAGCTTTTAACTGAATTTTGTTGAAACTCGTATGGTTGTCAGAAATATAAAACCATTGCATTATTAAACACTTACCTAGGTATAGATCTTGTATATTTCTTAATACGCCATAATAGGTATAGTTCAATAAGTTATGAGAAGTATCCATACAATAGAAGACTCATAAAAGATTATGAAACTATTATCTTATTCTGTGTCAAGACTGTAAGTTTAAACCTCAGGTCATGTTCTCCAACAGTATTTATTTTTTCCATGTGATAAAGTATAGATTACAGCTATTTTACATCAAAGATAACAATCTCAATTCGGAATCACAATGTGTTGCATTTGAGAGAATATAACAATACAATACGAAACACGCAATACTTGAAATATAATTATAGCTTATAAAACAAAATATATATTTTTTGACATAATCGTTTATTTTCAATGACCTTTATAAATTTTATTTCATATTTAATTTTTGCCAGCCTGTTTATGTCAATTTTCGTAGCCAAAGTTTTTTGAAAAAAAAAAAACAATAAATAGCTTCTAACATTGCAAATAAAATCTAAGTAGATTTATGCCTCTTTTTGTATTTTCGACCAACTAAACTCAATTTGAAGAAAGGATATATGTAATAGTCATGGCTTAGAAATCCCTAATCAGTTGAGTTTTATTAAATACTAACTTTTGCCCGTATATGTTGGTGTCCATTGGTGAAAGAATTTTAAAAATAGGTTTAGTGGTTTAGGCGTGAATGCGTAACAAACAAATAAATAAACAAACTCACTTTCACATTATAATATAAGTATAGATCTTTAATTGAAATACAGATAGTTATTTATTAATTTATATTAGTTTTCGTTACCCTAATTTAGTTTTTTCTTTGTCCCGTCTGAAAACGATTACATGCACAGAAGAATTGGCGGAATCAGGCAATGGTTGTAATGTTAAAGCACTTAAGAAATTTACCAAACTTACTTCTTCAGAATGGTAGGTAATAAACTGTATTCTTCATCCTTCAATTTTTATTCTTAGGGTCAGGTTTCGTTTCTTCGAAACAAAAGTAAACTTCCATTTTATTTGAAAGGATCAAATTAACATAAATTTTCTAAAACAGTTCTTAAGTAACTAACATTGAAAACTA